TGGAGACAAAAAGTTTATAACCGAACTATTTTTGACTTTTTTCCTTAACAATAACAGCTAGAACGAATCAGAGAAAAGATATGAGTAGCTGAGACAATATCCTATCAGAACAGGTACTTGTCGAATCCTCAGTAACACTCTCCAGTGAAAAGCCTCTGGAAAATCAAGACCCTAAAACCATTTTTCTAGATTCTATCAAAAACATTTTGCAGGCAAGGTCACCTGATAGAGAAAATATTTTGATGTTTTCAAAGATGGTGCGTCAAATTACGGACTGATCGTCTCAAACCAGATAAGCCTTATTTTATTAATCCGATAATCAGCATTGAACTCTGATTATTATTTTGCAAGTTTATTTTCTATTTTATCACAACTCAATTTTTTGACTTTCGAGGTATCTCTCACGTTTTGAAAAAAGTTTTTTCATCGTTCCATCAGAAGTCTTTTTAGTTTGATAGAACTATGTGTGCTGATTACAAATAACATATTATTTTTCAAAATTACTCGGATAATAAGAAAAATCTGAAGTACTCTCTGGAAGTCATAAAAACTCATTTTTGACCTGAAAATTCATCAAAACTCGAACTTAAGTTGTTGCAAATACGTTCATTTGATAGAGAATTTCATTCTCTAGCAGAATCTATAAGAAGTTCTTTGATATTTGAATTTTTTCTATCGATAAATGCGAAATACTGCCCTGATTAGGTCATATTGGCACAAATAATGATTTTTCGAGTCTTTCGAACTTATAGTTTTTCTGAGTGCACCAGCTTGATTTTTCCATTGGATATACAATTCAATGTGCACTTTCTGATAAGATTATTTTCAACTTGAAATTCGATGTCTAGTAAAGCATTTTTACCCTAACTACAATACTCGATAGTCAATTTATCTCTTTTTCGACTAATATTCGACAGTTTTCGAGCAGAAAATACTTCATTTGAATTTAAAAAGATATCATATTTGAAATCAGCACAAAAACTGGGTCTAATTATATACATTTCAAACTGTTTCTACCACTTTCATTTTTTCGCCAGTTTTTGTTCCTGATTCCCTTCTAAAGAATGGACGAAAAAATGAACTTCATCAAAACAACTATTTAATTATCTAGAAATCTCTGATTTTCTCTAAAAATAGCATTATACAAGTCTGGAATTGATTTTCCACTGCTGAAACCATTTTTTCGTTCATTCCTTAGAGGAATGAGGAACAAAAATTGATGGAAAATAAAAGTCATAGAAACAGTTCAAAATATATATAAGTCGACTCAGTTTTTGTGCTGATTTTGAATGTGACTTTTTTTAAAGTCAAACGAACTACTTTCTGCTCGAAAACTGTCGAATATTAGTAACAAAAAGAGACAAATTGGCTATCAAGCACAGTAGTGGGAGCAAAAGTGTTTCATTAGAAATCGAATTTCAAGTTGAAAATAATCTTATCAGAAAGTGCACATTGAATTGCATATCCAATGGAAAAATCAAGCTGGTGCACTCAGAAAAACTATAAGTTCGAAAGACTCGAAAAATCATTATTTGTGCCAATATGACCTAATCAGGGCAGTATTTCGCATTTATCGATAGAAAAAATTCAAATATCAAAGAACGTCTTACAGATTCTGCTAGAGAATGAAATTCTCTATCAACTGAACCTATTTTCAACTACTTAAGTTCGAGTTTTGATGAATTTTTAGGTCAAAAATAGGTTTTTACGGCTTCCAGAGAGTACTTCAGATTTTTCTTATTATCCGAGTAATTTTGAAAAATAATATGTTATTTGTAATCAACACATATAGCTCTATCTAACTAAAAAGACTTCTGATGGAACGGTGAAAAAATCTTTTTTTCAAAACGTGAGAGATACCTCGAAAGTCAAAAAATTGAGTTGTGATAAAATAGAAAATAAACTTGCAAAATAATAATCAGAGTTTAATGCTGATTATCGGGTTAATAAAATAAGGCTTATCTGGTTTGAGACGATCAATCTGTAATTTGACACACTTCCTTTCCACGATCTCTATTCAGTGAACAACAATTATTATGCGATATACCTGAAAAGCTGTTTTCTGTTGTCTTTATAAAATTTTATTTGAATTTACTGTATTTTACACTTTGGACCATTACGTAGCATGAGTGTAGTTCACTGAAGATAGGTTGTGAGCATTTTATTTTATTCAGAAATGTTTTCTCTTTCAAATGAACTTGTTTGCCAAACATATTGTGAGTCTAGGTATTCTGGAGAGCTTTCGCTCAGAGCTTTTAAAGAGAACTTATCAGGTACTTCTCCAGATACGACATTGTTTCAACTACTCAAATCTTTTTGCCAATTGCGTATAGCTGTCACCGTTAAGGAAAAAAGTCAAGAATACTGCGTTTCTAAACTTTTTGTCCCCATCTTATATTTTGTTTGAAATATGCTGAATGTAACTTTAAGAGGTATCCAATACAATTATAAAAGTTTCCAACCTGTTACTTGAACTGTTTAAAGAAATATTCATATTTCTGTTTCGTTCGAACTTTTCTAACACTATATACGAGAAATATTAATGACAAATTTTATCTAATTCATAATTTTCTTTTTATAAATAATACATCGAGTTTACAATCGATTGAAATTCAAAATAAATTGAAAAATTTGTATTTTATTTTATAGACAAGAAAACAAAACAATTTGTTGCGAAGGATGGCAAGGTCTCGCTTGTGATCAACCAGACAATTCTATTGGTAAGTTTTGATCAATCTTATTTTTATCTATTCATTTTTGCAAAACACGATCTAAAAGAAATGTTGAGGATATACGGAGTACAAATTTGCGTACTCTCAACAGATCATGCCAGTCGGGGTCAACAGACCGTAACAGGCATTGTCAATATACGATCAAAGACTGTATATGAGTAACATTTCATTTTAGTATATGAACTATCTTCTTATTGCATTTCCGAGGGACTAAGTAAAAGGAGGATGGTGAAGAAATGTATCCCGAAATAGATAGAATAAAATAATTTTCATGTAATTAGCACCAACAACTACATCGTGTTTCATATTTTAATCCCATGAGGATTTCGCTAACAGTTTTTTGTCTTTATGATCATAGGTCAACAATCATTGGCAATTTGTCATTTATGGGGTCGAGATCATATTCGAACATTTGATGGAACATATTATCAATTTCCGGGCAGGTAAATATAATTAATCATTTCACAATCAAAATGATTTTTATTCTATTTTAATAGTTGTACATATAAATTAACTGGTTCAATATCATGGCAAATTAATATTCAATTTATAAATTGTACAACAACAAAAAATTCTTGTCAAAAAGTATTTACATAATTTTTGTTTCTCTTTTAATAGAATTATTTTCTTTTCTTAGAAATTAACAATTGTTATTGCTGGTAAAATATTAGAAATAACAGATACAAATTTAACTAATCTTACATCATATCCATCAAATTTAATAATTCAACAACAAGAAAAAAATCTTCTTGATTTATATTTTACAAATGGTATTCGATTAAAAATTTATAATCAAGAACAAGAACAATCAACAATAATTATTGAATTAGATGAAAATTTTATGAATGATCAAATTTTAACAGGTCTTTGTGGAGATTATAATAATAATAAAGATGATGATTTGAAATTATCAACAACTGGTCTCATTACAACAATGCCAGTAGAGTTTGGAAATCAATGGAAATTATATCAAAGTGTAAGAATTTATTATTATTATTATTAATAAAATTTGTCATACTTTTCTTAAGTGTCCGGATGTTCCACGAGTCGTAAACAATTGTTTAATAACTTCAGAAGCTATTGATGAATGTATTTCATTAACTAATCAATCGGAAATATTTCAATCGTGTTTTAAAAAAGTAAACAAATGAGAATATCTATTCAAATAAATACACTTTTTTTTTTCGATATGTGCATATAGATCGATCCACAATATTTCTATGAAACATGTTTAAATGATGTATGTTCAGCAATGCTCAAGGAGACATCTTTAGAAACCGTACGATGTCCAGTATTGGAAGCATTTATTGAAGAATGTCGAGAATATAATATTCAAATTCAATGGCGATCTGAAACTGGATGTTGTATGTCAATTAGTTTTCTAATATTATTTTAAATATTTTCTTTCATTCTTTGTTTTGTTTTTGTTCTTAGCAAAACAATGTTCATCACAAAATACAATTTTTGTTGATTGTGCTTCACCATGTCGTCGAACATGTCAAAATCCATCATCAACAATTACACAATGTCATACACAAACTAATGAATGTACTTCCGGATGTGTATGTACAAATGAAACTGTATATGATAGTTTTCAAGATGAATGTGTTTCACTTGAACAATGTACATGTCAATATAATAATATGCAATATCAATCTGGAGATCAAGTATCAATTGATTGTAATAATTGGTAAATTGAATGTTTGTTTTATTCAATTGATTATATAATGCAAGAGTATTTTATAGTAAATGTGATCATGGTCGATGGTTATGTACAAATCGAACATGTTCGAGAACGTGTCTTGTACTTGGAAATATGAATATATTGACATTTGATGGTAAACAGTATGCACTTATGAGCAAATGTGATCAAGTTCTTGTCGAAGTAATTCGTTTGTTTATTTTATTTTTTTTTTTGTCTTTTGAAATTATATATGATGAGATATTTTGATCTTTAGAATTGAAATAAGAAATTCTATCTTACGGAGAAATAGATTTGAGTGAAATTTTTCTAATTTTAGACTAATGATCAATCCAATTATTTACGTATTACTTATACAAATGAAGGAAATGAATTAAATATTCAAATACTTGATAGTAAAGTAGTATTTCGTCAAGATAGTGTACTTGTCAATGGTAAAGTTCGTCATACTTTACCATATCAAACTGATGATGTTATTATTCGACGTGCATCAACAGTATTTATTGAAGTTCGAAGTTAGTTTAAATAATAAATCATATATATATATAGGAAAGGTTTATTCTTGTTTACACTAGATTTTCAATCAACTGTTGTATTACATTTTGACCCATTAACATCACGTATTTATATTAAATTACATCCATCATTTTTTAATCGAGTTCGTGGTCTTTGTGGAACATTTAATTATGTAGCAAATGATGTCTGTTGATTTCTTATTGTTATAAATATATACGGAAAAGAAAAATTTTTTTTTGAAATTTTAGGATTTTCTAACACCGAATAATGTCATTGAAACAAATTTAGTTACATTTGCAAATGCTTATCTTGCTTCATCATGTTCCATACCTGATCAACAAATTGATACTTGTTTTAATTTTCCAGCTGTAGGAATTTTCATTTCTTCTTTGATTTTAAAGTATAATTTTATTAATTTAGAATGAACATAGTGCAAGAATTGAATGTACAAATCTATTAAAAAATTCAATATTCTCAACTTGTTCACCATTAATTATTGATCCAACATTTTTTCTTACATCTTGTATACGAGATTTATGTGAAGATCAATCAACTACTCATCGTGATCAAGTTAAATGTTCAGTTATAACAGCATTAGCTCATGCATGTGCTTTAAAAGGTATTATTATCGATTGGATGAGTAATGAAACATTAGCTAATACATGTCAAACAATCAATTATGGTCAATGTGGTTTAACAAGTCGAGCAGATTATACAGAATGTGTATCAGAATGTCAATCATCTTGTACTGATATTGATCTAATGCCATCATCTTGTGTAAATCAATGTTTACCAGGTTGGAAAAATTTATGAAATTGTAATTGTGTTTAATCGAGCTTATTATAAATAGAGAAAAATTATCAATTGTGTTGATAATCTCGCTAATATTTCTTAGCAAATCTTAGTGACTTATAACTCTAACAGTTAAAATTGTATCGATGCTACTTGATGTCGACCAAAATTAAAAAGGAAAAAGTCCAACAGAAGAATATTACACAGTATCTTATTTTCCTTGTTGTAATCATTACAACTCGCCAACAATTAAAAGAGACACTCATCATGACAATAATAATAAATTGCTTCTATACGAAGAGCAGAAGCATAGAAGGTTGCAAATTGGCTCCTCGACTTTTTGTTATCCCGCTTCAAGTTTCCTACAGATTTCGATAAAATTCGTCGAACTGAGTATTTTTTGTGACGGAACATGGTCTCCACAATGTAACGCTGAAAAAAATCTTATGACATCAACTTTCGGCTTTTGCCTCTACTTTTTCATCTGCTGTCAAGTGGCGACTCTACGGTACGAGAGCAAAATAAGATCTTTTATACTACAATCTAAAGATGGCATTGTGATCTCTTTTCAATAAAAATATTACTTCTTTCAGTTGAGTCCTGTTAGAGTTATAGACCAAAAATGCACTTTTTACGAGACCTCACACCAGTATTAAGCAGTTGACTACTGTAGCATGTTGCCCATATCTCGAGAACGGAAAAAATAACTATCATCATTTTTTCAGTCAAGTTAGTCCTTTATATAAGCAACAAATCTTCCTAGTTAGATTTCAAATATCGATCGGACAAGACATCTCATGAAGGCACAGATTGCCATCAAAGTATCGATTTTGACTGAAACCAGGAATATATAGAATGTCCCTAACCGAGTCGATTAATCCTAACATCAGCATCATGTTCAGTGTCATAAATGGATTCTATCTATGCATGTTGCAAAACGTTTCGGCATTTTTTATATTCGTCAAAAAAAACAGTCAGGTCTTCCACAGGGGTAAGTCAAAAAATGAATTCAATCAAAACATTAGCTTGTCTATTAGAAAGGAAGCTCTGAATTGTTAAACAGCAAACAAAAGCTCCAAAACAAATAGATGAATAATACAAGAGCGACGTTTTGATTGAATTCAGTTTTTGATCTATCCCTGAGAGAGATCTCCAATGATTTTTTTCGACAAAAATAAAAGTAGTCAGAACGTTTTGAAACACACATGGATAGAATCCATTTGCAATGCTGATGTTGGATTTTTTAACTCGACTAAGGCACTCAATATAGCCCTGATTTTAGTCAAAATGGGGACTTCTATTTTGAAATATGTGCTCTTGTGGAGTATCTTATCTAATCAATATTTGAAAACTAATCGATAAGGTTTGCTGCTTACACGAAGGATCAGCTGTGCTGAAAAAATGATGATGGTTGTTTTTCCCGTGTTCTAGCTAAGGACAATATGTTATAGTAGTCAAGTGCTTGATTCTTATGTGAAGCCTTTTAAGAAGTCCATTTTTGGTCTATAACTCTAGCAAGACTTGACCGAAAGAAGTAATATTTTTAAGAAAGAGGACCACGATGTCATCTTTAGATTGCAAGTGTAAAAGCGCTTATTTTGCTCTCGTACGGTAGATGAAGTCGAGACCAGACAGCGGATGGAAAAATAGAGTATAAAAGCCAAAAGTTGACACCATAATATTCTTTTAGCTTTGCATTTTGGATATCAAGTTACGTCACAAAAAGTACTCAACTCGACGAGTTCTATCAAAATTCGTATGAAAACTGAAGTGAAGACAACAGAAAGTCGAGGAGCCAATATGCGATTTTTGTACGCTCTATTCTTTACTCGAATTCTAATCGGTATCCTATGTGATTCTAACCGAACAAAAATTGCGGGTAAATCTTTCGATGATAGTTGTTTTCTGACTGGCAATGTACTATCGGAATACTGGTGATAGTTCAAATAACCGTATGACATCAGGTTTGATATAATCATATTTGTTTTTCTCAATAGGTTGTACATGTGAATTAGATCAATTTTATGATGAACATTCGCATGTTTGTCAATTTCAAGATGAATGTCCTTGCTATGAATCTCAATCTGAACAATATATTCATCCATTACATTCTCTTCTTATTCAAACTCCAATTGTATCAAATTGTTCATGTTCACATGGTTCATTACAATGTAATTCATTTGATCAAAATCAATGTAGTTCAACACAAGTTTATTCATTAAATGCAACATTATGTCCTCGAACATGTATGAATTATTTATCTCATTATGATTGTGGTTTATATGGTCCTGGTTGTGTATGTCCACCAGGAAAAATTCTTCTTGATTTAACATCACATGAACAAAAATGTATTTCAATTGAACAATGTCCATGTCAATATAATCGTCAATATTATACTGAAAATGAAACAATTATACAAAATGATCATGGTTGTCAAAATTGTACATGTCAAAAAGGTGGTTTATGGTCATGTCAAAAAATTTTATGTACGAAAACATGTACTACATTTGGTCATTCACATTATCAAACATTTGATGGTCTTTATTATAATTTTCCTGGTCTATGTCAATATATATTAGTTAAAGATTTAAATAATTTATTTCGTATTCTAACACAAAATATTCCATGTGGTATGAATGGACAAATATGTTCAAAAAATCTTCTTATTGAATATAATGGAGTTACTATTGATCTTATACGTGATCGTCCAATACTTTTCAATAATATTGAATTATCAAATTATCAAATTCAACCAATTAAATTTGGTAATATATATATTTATCAATCAGGTATATATACAATTATTAAAACAGATGATTTTCTTATTAAATGGGATGGTCAAACATATATTGATATTACTGTTCAATCAAATAAAGAAATGTCTGGTTTATGTGGAAGTAATAATGATAATTTTGATGATGATTTTAAAAGTGCAGATGGTGCATCACAAGTAAATGTATTTGATATGGCACAATCATGGCAAACATCAATACAATGTACATCAGAAAAAAATCAATCGACAAATAATGATCCATGTGGTGATAGCCCTGCTCATGCACAAAGACGTACATGGGCACAAAATCAATGTGATTTAATCAAAGTAAAAACAAGTATATTCAATAATCCATTTGAGATTTGTATTGAAAAAATGGAAACGCATTTAATTGAAAAATATTATCAAGCATGCCTTTATGATGCTTGCCAGTAAGTAATGCCAATAAAAATTCATTAATTGACACTTGTTTAATCATTTTACGCCATAAAAGCCATTGAAAGATGTAGAAAAGCGTTGGAAAACGACGTCCTCTACTGGAATTTCATTTAGATTCACTTAGTTGTAAAGTTAATCGTAACAAAAATTTCAATTCAATACTAACTTAATGACTGAAAATTCATACTTTCCATTCAAGCTCAAGTCCATTCATCATCTTCTTCTAGAGATTAAATAAATTCTTACATAATCAAATCTTTCTAAATAAAGAATATATAATATTGCCACAAGTCCTTTGTCCAAACTTGAACATTTGTGCAAATTCTCTAGAAAGAATTCCATGAGGAACCATTTTTATAAAAATTTGTTTTCTCGTATCAATAACAAATATGAAATTCTTTGCACACTCTCATATAAAGAAATACTATGTTGAGGAGTTTTATACAAAAAAAGAAAATGAAATTTTTTTTTTTTATAATTTAGTGCTGATCATGGTGGCGATTGCGCATCTGTTTGTACTGTTCTCAGTGCATATGCTACTGAATGTCAATCAATTATAAAAACACCAATAATTAAATGGCGTACATGCGATCGATGTCCAATGCAATGTGATTCTGGCAAAGTTTATATGCCATGTGGTCCACTTTGTCCACAAACATGTTTTGAAGGCGATGATTATGGTGGTTGTATAGCTGATTCAGGTTGTGCCGATGGATGTTTTTGTCAAAATGGTCAAGTTATGGATAATAATGGTCAATGTATTGAACCTCATCGTTGTCCATGTTTATATAATAATAATATTTATCCACAAAATAGTCGAATAATAATGAAAAAAAATAATACATGTTATCATGAATGTGAATGTTTAAATGGTTCATTTAGATGTGATAGTATTGAAAGTTTAACATGTCTGACAACAAATTGTACAAGTAATGAATTTACATGTAAATCTAATGGACAATGTATACCATTAAATTGGAAATGTGATCAAATAAAAGATTGTTCAGATGGTAGTGATGAATTAGAAGCTAAATGTCAATATCAATGTTTGGATAAAATAAATACATATCAATGTTCTAATGGACAATGTATTGATATAACACATCGATGTGATGGTTTACCTGATTGTCGAGATGGAAGTGATGAAGTTAATTGTTGTAAGTTTAAAAAACATCTTTTTATTTCATTTTATTAGAATTTCTTTATATATATATATGTATAGCTTATGTAATACCATGTAAAGAATACGAATGTCCAAGAAGTAAATTATGTATACCAAAATCATGGATTTGTGATGGAACAGTTGATTGTGGTCATGAAGATGATTCCGATGAAAGTGGTGATTGTAGTAAGTTTCGAATTGAATCAAGGTTTTTATTTTTTTATATATAAAGAAACACTTCTATAAATTGAGAACCATTTTTCGAGGTATAGAACTTGTCATCATTTTTCTCCGCGTAAAAAAGTTAGAAATTAAAAACAAAGGACATTACAGTCTGACATTCTCGTTCAAATGAAAAAAAAATTAAACATATGAGATGTAGACCCAAAGAGAATTTCAGCTTATCACATGAGCTTTTTCGATCCTTATTTATTGAATATCTCCAGAAAATCTTATGGTATAAGACTGAAAATTTAAACATAGCCTCTCCATTATAGACCCAACATATTCTGAAAATTTCATGTGATTCGAATGTACCTGGCCCAAGATTGGTTTCCAAGGACGAGTCATTTATATCACTTTTGAGTAGTCGAACTACTATCCATTTCAAAATATAATGTACTTTGAATAACTTTCGATACAAACATGATAGAGATTTGCGGCTTTCACTCTGCGAGAGAAGATTCGGGGTCATCAAAATTTGATTGATCAATTACTGGCCAATCAAATTTTGATGGCTTCGAGTAAAGCTCATCGGGTTTAAAGAATCTTTGAATCCGAATCCAGACCCGGACGAGTCCAGATAGGGCACGATGAACTCTAGCCCCAAGTCTTCTCTCTTGAATGGCGAAAACCACAAGTCTCTAAGATGCTTCTATCAAAAGTTATTCAAAACACACAGTGGAGCAAATCATATTTTGAAATGAATAGTAGGTATAGACAAGATGATCCCGGTTTCAGGATCAACACTTTGTCATTAGGATCGATGTCTATTATGGTCGTATAAAACTTATGTCGAATGGCACATTGTCACGACTCGTATGTTCTAAATAGATAAATGTAGGACACTTTCGGTCCTGGCGGAACCGAGACCAAAAACGACTGACCCCAGTCATGTCTAAGTCAAATTCATCATGAATATTATCTTAAATTTTTGATTTAATTTCAATGAATTTTTTCTTCTATGCAGAACTTAAGCAATGTGATATATTAAGTGGACGTTATTTTCAATGTCGTGATAATTTCAATTGTTTACCTATTGAACAACGATGTGATGCACATAAAGATTGTAATGATGGATCAGATGAATTAGGTTGTTCATTATGCACATGTACATCATTATTTTCATGTATTCATACATGTCAATGTATTGATTCAAAACGTGTATGTGATGGAATATCAGATTGTATTGATGGAACAGATGAATATAATTGTACAGCAAATTGTGCTAAAGATGAATATACATGTTTAGATGGAAAATGTTTAAATAGAACTTTCTTATGTGATGGAATACGACATTGTTCGAAAGGTGAAGATGAAACACATCCAGATTGTTTACGTAAGTTAAAACAATAGATGATTTTCTTAAACTTAAGAATTATTTATCAATGTAAAGGTTTATTTGAATTTTGTTTTCTAATTGCCAAAAAAATTAAGATTGAAAATAATTTCAATGTTTATTTTTTCATAAAATAATTCTTATTTTGATTTCTCGAATAGCCTTAACAACAACAGCTGTTTCAACTCACATTCCTATTATGGGTATAAAAGTCACTACTACTACTCCAATGCCTTTCACAACTGGTACCATTACCACTCCTGTACCTTCTACAACAGGCATCTTTGTTACTCCGCTTATTCCGAGAATAGACTCTAAGCATATTTCCACAACACCTGAGCCAACATGTGATATTCAATCAGCTCTTATAGATGATCGATATATTTCAAAACCAGAATTTTCTACTCCTATTATTGGTTCTATTTCGGATTTAAATCCTGGTAAAAAAGGTATTGAATTTTTGGTTAATACTCCATCAACTATAGTTACTATTATACTTCCATTAAAACCAAATACAAAAATAAAAAAACTTATTAAATTTCAAATTCTTCGACCAAGTAATATTAATCGATTTCAATTAATATTTCTTAATAAACAAAGACAACCTATTGGTCAATATAAAATATTATCAACCGATAGTAAACAATCATTATTATCACCAATAATTAATAAATTTCCAATACAAGAAACTCTTTTACAACAAATTCGATTATTCAAACTTGAAATATTAGATACCAATGATAATCGACCACCAAAAAATGTTACTCTTCTATTTCAAGCTTGTTTTAAACAAACAAAAATACTTAAAAAAAGTAAAAAAATTTCTTTTTTTTTTATCTACAATTCAAAATTCGAACATAACTTTTCTAATCTAATTTTCACTAAAAACAAAAAAAAATGGTTTAACTATACTTGTATTTCAAATTGTCGGTACCTTTAATTTATTTAATTTATTCTTTCTTATAGAAAAATGTACACAAATCGATGCAATGAATTCATTTTATACAAAGAGAGTTATAGCAAAATTAGGTGGTACTCGTCCAATAAATTCTACTTATGGTCATTTATTACAAGGTTATGGTGGAGTTACATATAATACATCACAAGCTATTATTGATATTCGTATTCATAATAATATCTTATCTCGTATTAATGAAATATCTATTCCTGATTATTTATTAAATCGAACAAATGTAAGAAAAATAATTGTTGAATTATTTGATAAATATCATAAACGATTATTTTGGGAAAAAACAACAACAATGAAAGTTATATTAAATTCAAAGAAAAGACTTCATGTGAGATTTATACGTATTTCATTATTGGAAACAAATGATGATTATGCACCATTGAATGTTACTTTATCAATTAAAGGTTGTTTTGATCGAAAATATCCAACGAAAAAAATTACAAAGGAACATACACAAACAACGACAATTACAACAAAAAGTATGTCGAGAAGAAGGATGAAAAGTTCGTGAATGCATCATTAAAAGCAAGATGTCTTAAGTCTTTCTATTTAATATAACAAGTGATCGGAATGTTTTTGAATAAAATTTTTGTTTACTTCTGATACGCTAGAAAGTATTTCTGACAAATCAAGAGCAAATAGTCTTTGAAAAGTTCAAAAATTAGTTTAGACGAAAAGTTTTCGTGTTTTCACTCTTACGATTTGAAACTGAAAAGATGGATTCTTTATTTATATATCAGCTAATAGATTGAAAGCTACCCTAAAAAACGCACTTTATCTTTCGACAAGGCACCTCAATTTTCGTTTTTCGTAAATATTCATTTGTCAAAAACCAACAACCGTTTTACGTTGAAAAGAAGTTCTTGAAAAAATGCTTGAATAAAAGCTACAGTATAGTGCAATATCACATTTTGTAGAGAAGTGTTCATTCTACAAAACGATCGATTCTGACAACGTTTAGCATGTTCAAAAAGAGATCTATAGGGTAAAAAAAAAATCTATTGAATCTTTCAGAAAGTACTTTACTACTCTTGAGCAAAAATAAACACAACATTTCTAATCCTATATTCAAGTTCTGACCGCGAGCTATAGTTTTTGGTCCGTCTGAAATGTTTTCAAGTAAGCTCAAACGAACAAACATGTGCACTGGAAACGGCGAACCACAAGTTTCGTCCGAACTAATCTTTTTGGCTTTTCAAAGATTAACTCATTTGGGAATATTCTATAACGAGTTAAAGGAAGAAGAAGAAGAAGAAGAAAGAATATCTCCACCTTTCGGCTGCCTCACAGTATGAGGTGCTTCCGAATGGCAGATGAAGTAGCTTAATATCTTCACTACAACTAATATACTAGTTGTACCTCTGAACAGAAGGCTAGCCTGAGGTAAAATTCTTGTGCTCAATCACTTACACTCTCCATATAGTTATTTATTCAGGATCATTCCAACAGCGGATCAAAAGTGAACAAACATTTTATATAAAAACTTTCTAATTACTCGTTAGTACACTCAATACAGTGCACTTATTTTTGAGTGTTGTGGACAATCCTCAGATATACACAGAAAGTCAAAAGAAGCAAAGATATCCTTCAATATGCATAATATGTTTCGGCGATGATTGACTTGTATTTGCATACTTTCAAATAACAGAGTAATATCCTATATAACGAATTAGTTTCAACAGTATTCATTATATAATAAGATGTTATTCTATCAAAAATTTTCGATAATAAACATCTGTAGTGTTCTAGTGATGCATAAACTATTAAAAGATTAGAAGTATGTCTCATGATTACAAGTAACATTTGATCTTGATGAATTTTCGCAGTAGAGAGCGTATAAGAAATGATGAAAACAAAAACACCGAAGAAATTTTTCGAAATAATTTTCCAACCTATGGGTTTTTTCTCCTTGATCAATGTATGCATTAATGTTCATTCAGATGCGTGAACATCTCATTCAGTCAGAAAATATTGAAACTTTCAGGGCAGATAGCTATTGATGAGTAGAACAAAAGTTGCCGTGGACTCAAAACTCCTCGATGCTTACCAGTAGTGGTAAGGATGACAAATCGCTCGCCACTCGTCCTCACAATATGTCTAACAGGATTGAGCATTTTCTTACAGATACTTGACACTGTTTTGGTTTCTTTTTTATCCTGTTCCGTTCGAAGAGAAACACAAAAATCCTGAGAAGATTCTAAAAAATGTGCGTTTTTATATCTGAAACTTGTTTTATTAACCATGACAAAAGTCTTAGACATCCTAAACTATTTCTAACATAAGTAGGAGAAAGTTTCAGCTCGATCGGATGTACTATGACAGGAACGTAGAGTGATGAATGAAGATTTTTCATTTTTGTTTTTTTTCGAAAAAACTCGTTGTTCAAAACAGCGAAATAATATGTAAATTGTGATGTTCTTTAGCGAAAAGGTTCCATCTTTATTGATTTTTATAATTGCATATAAATTTTTAAAATGTGTCCAATAGATCATTTAGATTCGTATATAGCGTAGAAAAAAATCAAAAATGGAAAATTTTTAAATTTTCGATTGGTAAAGAAATCGATTTAAACATTTATATTATTTCTCTACTTTTCACTACAGTTCATTATAACAATCTTTTCTTTGTTATCTTTCATGTTGGTATTATTTCATTTTCACTATTTTTCAATCAAATCAATTCTGAGAACATACGATTTCTTATATAAATGAAAAAATTTTCTTTATTAAAGGTACATGTTATCATGTTAATGCTCTTGATCCTACATATGCTTATAAAATAATTGGACAATTTGAAGGAACTCAACCATTATCTGGTTTATCATTTGTTAATTTTATTACATCATCAAAAACAGGCGTTGATTATAAAACAAAATCTCCTATTATTATCATACGATTTCAATCAAATGTTGTTGGTCAATTAGATGAAATTTCTCTTATTGGTAGTCGAAATAACATAAAACAATTTCAAGTTGATCTATTTGATTTCAATAATAATTTACTTTTTTCTAAACAAACAATTTATCCAGAAAATGATGAGTAGGATAGACTTTTTTTTTAATTTCTTACCTATCTTCACATAGAAAATTATTATTTTCTGACAAAATAATTGATGATTTCTTCTGCAAATATTGTTTGTAAAGTAGTTTTACATCAAAAAAAACAAAAACTTTTTTTTTTCTATCCATTAGTTTGAAAATATTATCAATTCTAACTGATAATCGTCTGTTGGCTTCAACAGTACAAATAACAATTTTGAATACAATTGATGATCGTCCAGCTCGTGGTATTATTCTATCGATTGTGGGTTGTTTTTCAACAGCTCCAGGAATTCCAACAACAACGATAACAACAACAACAACAACAATCGCACCACAGACTACAGAACTAATAATGAAACAACCACGTATATAATTCTTTTTCTTTTTTTGTTTCATTCTATTATTTATTTATGATTTTTGTTTTCAATTTTTAGGTGATTGTAATAGAATAGAACTGATGACAAATAAAAATATTATCATTGGTATTACATCACAATCTCAATTAATTAATGGAAATTTAGGTGAAATTGGACAAACTAAATTTAATGGTGTAACCTTTTCTAATTTAACATCATCAATTGATATTATATTTCGTTCAAATATTCTTATTTATCTTAATTCAATGTCAATTATTTCAACAACAACAAATTTAAAACAATTTCGTATTGAATTACTTAATAATGAAAATGATATACAATATAAAATTGAATCATCATCAATGACAGTTAATTTAGAATCATTACCATCAATTGTATTAGCTGGTATTCGATTAACATTTCTTCAAACAAATGATAATCAACCACCGAAAAATATTATTCTATCGATTCAAGCATGTGTTGAAGAAATTTTAATTACAACACCTGTAACAACTGCACCAACATTAACAACAAGCAGAACATTTCCACAAGCACCACCCATGACACCAGGTACAGATTTCGAAATTTAGTGACAAAAATATAGATTCTCCTCGTTAATAAGCTAGTCGATTGAACTATCATCACTATGGTTCAGTAACGGATGGTACGAAGGTTTCTGAACAAGTTATTTCTTCATTTATCGATTAATTACGAGAGTTAGTAGAAATTTTTGAAGCATTGAGTTAGAATCGGAATTTTGGTGAGACCCATAGATTAAGAATTATGAATGAATCTTTGAAACACTCGAAAATAAAATCTAAAAGGAAGAAGTTGAACTAACTATATCTAAAAATCCCAAATTTGATCGTACCTATTTTTGAAATTGACTGTGTGTTACTTTCTTATGTTCGTCATAAAGGTGTCCAATTCAGTTGACGAGAAACTATCTCCAAACGTTAAATCATTTTTCGACTGACAAGGAAACCTCACCAACTGATACCCTCTGTTTGAGTTCATATTTTGCTCATGGGTATAGCTTATAGCATAGATAAAAACCTTAAAAGGGTTCGTGCTCTTAGGTCTTTCTTGTCGAGTTATGGTCATTTTACAAAATTTCCAGCCTATCACAGGCTATTATAAAAAACCGCAACAAAGAATTTCTGCCCGAAAATTTCCCTAATAATAGACCTCATGATCTTTATTATATACTGAAAGTTTTAGCTCAAACGGATGAGTATTTCTTAAGATATTGGATACCTTAAGAATGGACTATTGTCGTAGTTTTTATGAGAAAGTAGTGATTTTTGCAAATGTATCATCTTGGAAGAGATGCATTTGTTTGACTTAAACTTTTAGGATATAATAAAGATCATGAGGTCCGTTATAAGAGAAATTTTCAGGTAGAAATTCTTTGTTGGAGGTTTTTTCATAATAGTCTGTGCTAGGCTGAAAATTCAGTAAAATGACCATAACTCGACAAGAAAGGCCTAAGGCCACAAACTCTTTTAGGATTTTTATCTGCTCTATAAGCTATACTCATGAACAAAATATGAACTCAAACAGAGAGTATCAGTTGGTGAGATTCTGTCGTAAGACGATGGTCATTTAATAAACAATAGAAAAGTCTAGAATGGTTTGATTTTTCGTGCCTTTTGTTCTTGAGAGATCAAAATTTTACTGGATTTTTCAACAAAAAAGTTGTGGTCATTTGGAAAATCGACTTTCGACTACAGACTTTGCATGAGCAAAGTACTCAATGAGATTAGATCATTGAACAAATTGTAATTTGTCTATGAACTCTTATCCCGAGATATTCAATATTCGAAGTTCTCTTATATATAAAAGCAAATTTTGTTCATCTCTAGAAAGGAAATGCCATAAAAGTTAAAACTTGTCGAATGAACTAATCTCATTGAAAACTTTATTGATGCAAATTTTTAACATGACAACAGCTTTTTTGTTGAAAAATCTAGTAAAATCTAAAGAGCAAGACACTGCTCTAGAGAGTGAGCTAAGAACTGAAAATCTCGTAACAATTCTTCAGAGATAATAGAGATGATTTTGTAAATGTGGAAATCAATGAGCTGTGAAGACGTTAACGTATCTTTTACTAAAGGTCTTACTATTGATAGAAGCATTACAGAAAACTATATAAAAATTAGAATATTATTTTGTTCAGAAATGTTTGCTCTTTCTTTCAGTATATTTTTAATAAATTTTATTTTCGAGACTTTCAAAGATTCTTCCATAATTCATAACCTATGAGTCTTCCAAAAAATTCCAATCATTTATTCGGGAAGAGCATAAAATTTTGATTCTAACCCAATGTTTCAAAATTTTCTGTTGACTCTCGTAATCGATCGAAAAATGAAGAAATATGTTGTTCAGAAACTTTTGCATCACTTGCTAGTAGGTATTTGAAATTCAAAGTTGTTCCTCTATCATCATTTGAGTCTTTACTACGATATTCTCTATTATATTTCATAAGTGTTTCCACAGAAATTAAAAGAATAAGTAGGACCTGTACATGCTACAAGTGATCGTCACGAGTCATGGTTTGTTAATTCTATTCGATATGAGATTCAGCTTGAAAATACCGATGTCACAAAAATTGGATCATTTTTAGCGATAAACCGCAGTATTTGTCAAAACCGGCGGTTTATCGCGGTTAATTGCAGCAATGGCAATCGGTAACCGAACTGGTAAAACCACAGTAAACCGCCAGTTTTTATCACATGGGCATTTTACAAATAGACACTCGCATACAGTACGTCTATGATGTACTACATGAACTACGCTTAACTTGTTAAATATATGATTATTTTTATTGTTTTATGTTTTTCGTATTAGACCATTGTGCTGATATTGATGCAATGCAAGAACCTTACAGTAAAGAAACTCTTGCTGGTCTTAGTGGTACGAATCCACAAGGTACTAATTCTTCACTTTTGGATCTTATCTATGGAAAATCTATATCGTTCGATGAAAATGAACAGAAAATTATTTTATTCGTCATTTTCAAATCAAATCTATTTGTTTATTTAAAATATGTTGGACTTTTATCAATATCTGATACGAATGTAAAACGAATTAAAATTGAATATCTTGATAAAAATCAATTACTTATACGAACAATATTTGTTGATTATTCAAATGAACAAAAAATAATGGAACCTATGCAAAATGTTGGTTCAGTTAAAATTACAATTGAAGAAACATATGATGGAAAATCAGCAAAAAATGTTCGTCTTTCAATCAGAGGTTGTTTTGCTATTCAACCTCGCTCAACAACAACAATACAACCGACAATATCAACACCAAGTAACATATGAGAAAAAAAAATATGTTTTTTTTTTTTTATTTAATTTTCTTTATCTTTACAGCTGCATGTCATCATTTAAACTTAATGTCAAATAAACCTGTAGCTACTAAAGCTATTGCATATATTGCTGGTACAAATCCAAAATCATCATCAATATTTGATTATTTTAATTCATCAACATCAATTTCTTATTTAACATCACATCCAACATTTATTATTGTATTTAAAACAAATATTTATGTTGAATTAAAATCAATATTAATTACAAATAATGAAACAAATGTTCGTGAATATCAAATTGATTTAATTGATAATGATCGAACAATTTTACAAACAATTATTATGGATACACAGCATCAACAATCGAATGTTAATTTTTATGTTCCAATTGCTGCTTTACAAATAACATATCTTACAACAACAGATGGACAAACACCACGAAATATTATTTTAAATATTGATGGATGTTTTGGAATAAATCTATCTCCAACAACAACGGCAACCACTCCAGTAATGACGACAACACAACAGCCACTACTATTAGCAACGAGTAAGTATAAATTTATTCATTTTAATTAAGAACAAAAATTTTCATTCTCTGGTTAGGTCATTGTCATGAAATCGATATGATGAATAAACTTGATTCTACAATTCTGGTCGATTCAATTACTGGTACATTACCTAGAAAAACAATTGATAAATTAAGTGATTATTTCAATCCAACATCATTAATTTCATATGATACACAACAATTACCTGTAACTTTTCTCATAATTTTAAAATCGACTGTTTATGCTGAAATTCAAACAGTTTCTTTAATAAGTTCAACAACAAATGTTAAAAAATTTCAAGTTGATCTTATTGATGATTATAAATCAATTATACAAACAATTGAATCCAATAATAATTTAACTGTTGACGGTTTAACAGAAGTTGGTATTGCTGCAATACGAATCACATATATTGAAACAAATGATAATCAACCACCAAACAATATTCGCCTATCAATTAAAGGTTGTTTTGGTATCCTTCCAACACGTCGACGAATAACACCAGCAATCGAATCAACCACAACAAAACCACCTCGAACAACACCAGCAACTGAATTGATCGGAACGAAACCACCTCGAACAACGCAAAGAATAAAACGTAATAAATAGATCGTATTTTCAAATTAGATATTTTTCAAAAGCATACAGATTTATTCTTGCATAGAGAAAAATATGGAAAAGGATCTATAACTTAAAAGTCTTATATCTCGAAGAGATTTTCTTCAAAACTTGTGAATTTTTTAAGGAAGTTAATCTAGTTGAGTTCTCTATATGTGCAAATTTTCAAATCAAAATTTGAAAATACGAGTTTTCCGAAAACCTATAGCCTCTAGAAAATAAACATATTAAAAATTCAATAGCTTAGTCAAATATCAATAGGAATCCAAATCCTTGTAAGGTTTTTATTCGAACACTATGCAATATCTATAGGCAAAAATCTGCGTTATACCAGTCTTCTATACAGAACTACAGCTAATGTTAGTTGTAGAGAAGGTATTGAACTAATGAATCTGTCTCTGGGCAGTAACCTATGCCAAAAGGCATGGATATTTTTCCTTCTTCCAATTTGTACATGAATATATTAATTTTTCTTTCAATAGGTAAATGTACAATTCTTGATGCAATGTCTATTGAAAATCGAAAAAAACTTATTCGATCAGTAAATGGTAAAGAAAACTTGAATATATTTTCATCCGATGGTTTATCATATAATTCAACTTATGGTTCAATTGATATTGCATTTAAACAAGGTATTATTAGTAATATTGATAATATATCAATTATTGGTAATAAACATAATATTAAAAATTATCGAATAATATTTTTTGATATTAATGATAATATAATCGATGAACATTTATTAAAAACAGATGTAAATGAACTATTATCTATTGATAATGTTGCTACAATACGAATTATATTTCTCGAAACAACAGATAATAAAAATATTCATGATGTTCACTTATCAATTCGTGGATGTTTCTTTAAAATTCCAAATTTTCAAACTACTAAAATTACAACTATGAAAACAACACAACCACCTGAGTATTGTCATTCAATAGACATAATGGATAAATATCATGCTAAACGTTTACTGAATCGTGTTGGTGGTACATTAAATATACCAGACATATATAATTTAACACAAAATAATAATATTAATCAATCATTATATTTTATTATTGAATTTAATAAAGATATTTTTATTCGTCATATTCAAAATATATCTATTCTTACAGATAATCATCGTATTGAACAAATTCGTATTGAATTACAAAATAAAAAACGACAATTATTAAAACGTATTGATATATCAATATTTAAACAAACATCATATACAAATCTTTATACACCAAATTATCCAATAGATGTTAAATATTTAAAAGTAACAATAATCAAAGGAAAACCAAATAAAAATATTCGTTGGTCAATTATTGGTTGTTTTGATAGAATAAAAAAAGTTAGAAAAATTAAAAAAATTCCAAAAATTACTTGGTGGAAAGGTAAAATATGATAACAATCTATCAAAATTAGAATCCATCAGGTCCAAACTAACCCGATGGGTTCTAATCGAACTTTTTATTTTTTTTTATTTATTTTTTTATTTTTTTCATTCAAATAGTTTCATGTATTCATTCGAATATATTGGCTGGACGTGATGGTTATCATCCACGAAAATTCTTAACTCCATATATTACTGGAACACCTTCACCAATTGGTGGTAATTTTCAAAATTTAATGACTAATAATATTGGTATTTCCTATTCTGACATACAAAAACCAATAATTATTGAAATTGATTATCCATCGGGAATTATTGGTCGTTTATATGAAGTTGGTATTCAATCAAGTAATGTTTATCGAATACGTGTACAACTTATCGAAGTACCAAATGGTATATTGTATACTTTAACATCACCACAATATAATAGAACAGATAAAAAAAATACAAATCCTCGTTTAACAGGATTTCCACCTGTATATTCTTCAGGTATTCGAATTATTCTATTAGATACAATTGATGGTCGTCCACCACGACATGTAACAGCTTTTACAAATGGATGTTTTTATAGAAGTTCAGTTAAATATACAACTATACCAACCATTGGATCAACTAAGGAAACAACAAAACAACCAAAAACTAGTAAATATTGACGAAAAATTATATTTTACAATTGATTTTTTTTTGTCTCATAGCAACAGTCAAAACAAAATGTCTTTATTCTCAATGGACACGTTGGGGACATTGTTCAGTTAGTTGTGGTAATGGAGTACAAATACGTGCAAGAAATCGACTTTCAGGTATAGGATGTAATGGTAGTTTAATGGGCTATCGTATGTGTCAATTACAACCATGTATGTGTATATTAACAAAAGAATTTTATATGGCTGCTACTGGTGAACAAGTACCGGCGAATAGTAAATATTTTAAAGTTATTTATATATGCATAATATTTAATTTTTCTTTTTGTTTTTGTTCTAAAGATATTGTTGGTTATTTAAAAGGTGGTAAAGAAGCCGTACATATTGGAGATATTTTAGATACTGGTACGATAGTTTATACATATAAATGTTTGCAATTTATTTGTTCTAATGTTGGACTTGATGTGAAAAATTCAACAGATTGTCAACGTAAGAATTTATGTTTTCTTTTAATCAAAGTTTTCGAACTATGGGCGCAAAATCATCCGTTAGCGATATGACTTCGCAAAACTAGAACGCTTGTATCTCGGGCTAATAAGCTTTCCTAAAGCTAATTTTTGTATGTTACATGTATGTTACGTTACTTTAGAAACCCTGAAAAAATCAGTGCTATATATCTTCGTTCAGAGGAGTTATCAGGAAAAAACTAGTGTTAACGATGTGATACAAAAAAAGAACATCGATTTTCACTTTATGCATTTTGATTTCAAAAACTCTAAATTGAGGCAGCTTTTTCGGAAACTAAACAGTGCATTCTATAGACAATTCCTGAGACTACAAAATCTCTATACAAATTTTTCTCTAAGCATGTCTATGTTTTTCAAAAGAAGTCCGTTTACTTGTCGTTAGCGACGTGACAGAGTATGAATATACAAACGAATGAGAAGTCCGAAACCAATTTCAAACGATACAAACTCTTTCTCACAATCTCTAGATGATGATAACACAAAACTATTCGTTTCAGGACTTGACATGGTCTTTAGAAAACTTGATTTTTCTGATGAAGTCTTTCGGAGTCTGATCTTCCTGAAAATGTCACCATAGATGTAGACCATGTCGTAGAGTCTATCCTGAAATTCTCGAAATTTTTTCTTTAATAGTTGAAGAAATATTCACTAATTACTTTGTAATTAATTAACTGACTAATTATTCACTCAATTAATTTGACGAATTAATTAAGTGAAATTAATAATTATCTAACTAGTTAATTAATTGAAATTAATAGTCAGCTAAAAGAACCAACATTTTCACATGTCTATGCGAAAAGAATTTATTCAAAAAAATAATTCTTGTAAAGAATCAAAGTCAAATAGAAAATGCGTAAGTCCTGTTGTCCCTGAAATAGTTCATATGCTTACCAAGTCGATATTGGAAACTTAGGGTATTGAAAAAATACGAATCCATGATAGTTACTTCTCAGAGATATTTCCTCTTCGGACAGTTGCTCTCGTGACATTCTTTTTCCCTACGGTTTTAGTTAAAACTACGATCAATCAAAAACAAAACAGAGAAATACTGGAATTATATACAGACCTACGCTTCTTGCTCATCTTCTCTGCGCCCTCGGAGCCTAACCTCAATATCTAGCCTGACATTTTCCGTAGCCTTCACTCTCATCTTAGTCTCCGCTCTGATCTTCAACTGAATCTCCTCTCGGGAGTGTAACAGCCATGTTACCAAAAAATTTCCGAATATCGAGATTGTGAGCACTACTGAATTCTTTTTTTTTAATCATAGGCAAATGTGTTTATCTTGATTGGTCTCCTTGGAGTCCATGTGAAGGTGATTGTGGTAATGAGTATCAAAAAGGTATTCAATATCGACAACGTTTACCTTTAAATATTCTTACTGGTTCACATCTATGTGAACCACAAAAAGAAAATCGTTCATGTCAAACATCACCTTGTTTTGGTTCATGTATTCTTTCATCATGGTCAGAATGGAGTCCATGTTCAAAAACATGTGATCTTGGAATTCAAAAACGTTCGAGATATTATTTATCTCTTCAACCAAATTGTACGGATAATTTAGAAGAAAAACGTGATTGTAATCCTCAATGTTGTCCATCAGGTTAGTAGAAAATTACTTTGAAAAACTTTTTAAAATTTATTTCAATTAAAATAGATACAAAACCTACATGGTCAGAATGGAGTCCATGGGGAAATTGTAGTCGAAATTGTGGTAGTGGCGAACGAATACGTTATCGAAGATGTATAAATGGTACGAGTCAATGTCAACAACAGATAACATGTGATGGTTCTGATAAACAAATTGAACCTTGCAATACACAAAGCTGCCGTAAGTAAAAAAGATCTGCCGTAAGTAAAAATGATCAAGAGAAAAAAAATTGATTAATTAATAGAAGTTTCTGCTACTCGATATACATGTACGAATGGACAAATAAGGAGTAATTGTAGTAATGCTTGTGGTCATACATGTAATACATTAACATGTCGTTCATGTAATGAACCATCTGAATGTGTATCTGGTTGTGTATGTCCTGATCCATTAGTAATGAATACAGATGGAGAATGTGTTGAAATAAATCAATGTTTATGCCAAACATCTGACGGTAAAACTAATCTTGTTGATGGTCAAACTATGTTCGATCAAAATAAATGTGAAGATTGGTAAGATTTATAATTTTGAAAACAAAAAAGAAAACTTGATAACTCTTTGTTTTTGTTTCTTGCTTTTAAGCTTATGTTCTGATGGTTGTCTCGATTGTCGTCCATCGTCAAAAGATTGTTCAATATGTACATGGAGTGAATGGAGTCCATTTGGTGTTTGTTCAGCAAAATGTAATGGAACACAAAGACGGTATCGTACACGTTCATGTGCTGGCTTAGAACCCGAAATTGAATATGAAGATCAACCATGCTCAACGAATGAAACATCATATAAGAAAGGTTGTGTAGAATGTTCTTGTAATGCAACTACTGGCGAAGAAACATGTTATGCTCAATGTGCTATAACACCTGATCTCTGTTCAAATCTAACAAATGATCCACTCAGTATATATGAATATATACCACCAGCTGATGGTGAATGTTGTGGTTCATGCAATCGAACAAATAGTATATTGAAAAATGAATTTCTTTTTTTCTTTATGCAAAGATAATCAAATTTTGTGTTTTTATTTTAGAAACGGAACCATGTTCGGTGCAAGAACTACCATTAGAACAAATCACCTATGGTGATTGTATGTCAGTAAATCCAATAGCTCGACAACAATGTTTAGGTACATGTATATCAGGTATGACATGTCGTTGTTGTTCACCATCGAAAATAACAATGGAATCAATTCCAATGGAATGTCAACGAATAGAAGATAATTCAACAATTACTTTTATTACAGAAATACCTTATGCAACAATTAATTCATGTGGTTGTCAAGAATGTACTAAGAACTTTTAATTTTAATAATAATAAAATATTCATTATTTTTTTTTCTTTGGCTGAAGATTTCATTGCAATTTCGTTTCTTTTTAATGACACAAGATAATATCGATAATTTTATAAATATTCATTAAAGTATTTTCAAAGGAGAACAATAAATTTGGATATTATATTTTACTCTAATAAATGAATATGTGTGCTATTATGGTTTTCTTTTTCTTGAAAATTATCATAATTTATTCAAATAAAATGGAACTTTTAGTACATCAAGAATACTCATATATCTACTGTAGTGTAAACTTCAATTTTCCATTGTCTAATGTTACTGAGTTATTGCAATTAGAAGACATAAATATATCATCTGTGGACAGCTGGCTCATGAAGTCTTTTGCAAATATTTCTTTTTTTTTGTATTCATCTACGCATCTGGTCGGCATAAATCGTAAATAAATATCTAATTGATCATATTGATAATATGCAAGTTGATGGTTCTAATTATATATACATATTAAATTTAGAATCTTGCTCACATCTGCAAAAACAACATCATCTAAATAATTATCTTTTGATTGTTGACAAAACAAGGCGTATCTTCGAATGTAGTTTTCAATGAACTTCGAATTATTTTGCAGATACTTCCTAAATCAATGTTCTCATCTTTGCTAACATTCAAGCATTCGATCTACTAATTTTACTATTGCCAAAAAAGTATCAAAATATATGAACTACTATTATATTCAGAAGTTAATACAGACTTAAGACTTTGTATTTCATATTGTTTTCAATAAAGCTTTATCAGGAGTAAACAATTAAAGGTCTGCCTCAGAAATACACTTTTTACTTTTCATTCAATTTCGTCCAAAACTTCAGAGAATGTTAGTCCTGGCTTGAATAGATTAATGGTAAAATATCATCTCAAATCTCTAAGATACTCACAAACTATAATCAATTCATTGGGCAAAAGTACTCTTTATGCGGGCAAGGTTTTCAAAATGAGGATACGAGCTAATCTGTCGGGATAGTTTTTAAATTGTAGAGTATATTCAAGCTCAGGGCGTAATAGAGCATAAATTTTGAACTTTCGTTTGGTTGTTTTTTAGAAAAAAATTTTCGAAAAATTCTCAAATTTGTGGCAAAAAGAAATCACTAGTGGAAATCAAAAATCAAAGTTTTTATTTCAGTCAAAGAGAAATTCAAAAATCAGGCTCTATTACGACCTAGCCATAACTATCTTCTGTGTAATAAAAAAATGATCACTTTTACATTGAATCATTATGGAGAAAAGTATGCCCACGTAAACGGCACACTCGAAAAACAATGCTTTTAATTTAGTAAATGTCTCTATTTAAAATAAGTCTATTTATGTTGCCTAATATTTTCACACTCTTCAGCAAGCTTCATTAGATCACTATATGTGGATGTATTATATTGCTCTTAAAAGTACGTATCATGCCTAAGTTGTGGGTGTGGGTAAAGGTGAGGGCAAGGCTTTTATTTTAGCCACAACCCACACCTAAAATCTAGAAACATGAAATAAATGTTGTCGGTACCAACTTACGCCTAAAAATCCATTAAAAAAATTTTCCTTTTTTGTTTGTAAATAGTACATCCAACAAAGTAACAGTTCTCATTGATAAATGATTCGTTTTTATGAATTTCTATTAAGTTAATTACAATGCTCACAATGACTGAGTATGGGCTATGAAAAAGAAGGAAGCTGAGAAGAAAGATACTGTTCATTAAAAAAACAAAATTCTCAGTGAAGATGATAGTGTCGTCACGTGTACATGTACAAGTGCTGACAGTGCTGGTGATTTTGGAAGATGGAATAATGGATGCCGAAAGATACATCAATGACGTTCTTCCAATCGTTCTAAAATTCGACAGGAAAATCTTAGGAAATGACTGGACACACTAGAAGGATGATCCTAGAACTCACACACATTTCCTGAGTCAAAAACAGTGTGTTGATCATTTTCTTATATTCATTCCGAAGACCTGTTAACAAACAAATTCGCTTAATTTATGTCCATTAGACTATAGTTTATGGAATGAATCGGTTGAAGCTATGAATTAGGACCATGTAACAACAAAGGCAACACTGATTGACAAAATAAAACTTTCGGTCAAAAAGATTGAAAACAAAAAAATTTTACGTTCTGTACTTGATTTTATTGTACAATTACGTTTGATTCTGAAAAAATTGAAGGAGACTATATTTGCTAAATAAAATATACCTTCAGGTCAATGATTTTAACGCCTGGACTCGTGAATTTCGGGGAAATCCCTGCTAGAAAGACGCCGTTATCTGTCGGTAAACTCGGGAGAATAGTAGCAACTTGGAAGCTCAAATCCTGTGATCAGATTCGGTTGCTCAATTTTTCTAGTTGTGGCTGTAATTAGACCTGTCATAGTTCGTGATCGAGGACCTGAAGTGGTATCACTTGATCAGTTCTTTTCAAAGGAATTGGAACTGGTAAGCAGTCCTTTATTGACAAGTAAAACAAGTATCAAATAGAGTCGCTACATTATCATTATTAGTAAATCGAGTCGATATGGAAAGAATTGGTCACCGGACCGAATTCTCAAAAAAGAACTGATCTTTGGACCTAGTTCTCAATAAAGAATCGGCTCATAGAACTGTGAGCTGTCACAGGTCTAGTTGTAACTGACGCTAATCTGGCAGAGTCGGCTATCGGATTTCTGCTTCAAATTTCCTATTGTTTGCCCGAGTTTTCTAGTCGAAAGCAGCTCGTTTTTCTTGACATCGACCATTTTGTGCAGAGTTTCAAGTATTATCTTTTGATAAGAAGAGTTATCCGATTCAAGGGCTAATACAGGAAAAATTTCAAAAATACTTAGAGGGTAATTTATTCTGTACCATCCGTTATAAGCTTAAAAAGTTCAAAATGGTTGGAGTTCATAGCATCTAAGCAAAGATATCATATATACTTAAATGTAATAAATCATGCAAAATTTACAGAAAAATCTTCATTAATAAACAAAAAGGTCTTCCATTCGGATTTGACTTTGTATCTCTATTCCAAAAAGGATTTATTTTCTAAACTATTTTTAAAAACATCGACAAAAATATAATAAATGAAAGCAAAAAATAAAGGGTAGAAGTTTTATTGATAAAAGCAATGTTAATCTGCTGTCAGTGCAAACAGAAGATGTAAATAATTCTTTAGTTGTGTATTAGTTTAAAAAATCATGCATGTAATTAAGATCAATGTAAATAGTTTTAGCCTCCAAGAGGTCATTGATGCATCATTAACAGTAAGAAAAAATAAATAGCATCAGGTACTTTATTCGAATAGATTTTCACATCATATTTAGCACGCTTCGATAAGAGCGGCTTAGTACGACGTCGCCATTCAGCTAATAATTCATTTTGATTTTTATGATAAACTTCTATTCTTTTTGGAAGACTTTTCCGTTTTGCAATAAATTGCTCATCATTATATTTCACTGTATAATCAGTAGATAAGAAACGTAATTTTTTTTGTATACTTCCATCTGTCCATTTATTTAACTTATAATCATAAATAGAAAATGTAACATTAGCTTTTCTATTTTTCCATGCATCTTCAAGATTAGCCACGATATTCTTTCCAGGATTATCAACAAGTATAGCAGTATCGATATCACGTGACGAAACTTTTAATCGATATAAAGCTGTTTCTTCTTTTGAATCTAATATTGTAAACCCATATAATTTATTTCGATTGGCTTTTCCATTTTGTACTACTACATACGTACGAATTGCTACTTTCGATTCAATACATATAATCAGAAGAATAAATAATAATAAACAAGTAATAATCTTCATAATAAGTATAGACTAAATGTAGATGTATCTTTCTTTCTATCATCTTATATCAACCTTCTAGAAGTTCGATTGTCATCAATTATTATATTGATATCAACACTTATTGCTTTAATTATTCGATATATCATAAAACTAAGAAACAAGTAGTATTTGCAATATTTTATCTAGATTTTCTCGCTCAGGAAGAAAATTTTTAACATTCTGGAAGGGCAAATACTTACTTTTTAGACTATATAATACAGTAACTACAAACCCCAAAAAGAGTCAACTCGATCGTCGAAGTGGTGGCATTTCTTCAATCTTCACGTTGAATAAAATATTTAGAATTTGTACTTAATAGAAAAGGTTATTTTGACCAAATACATTTTACTTAATTGATAATCTAAAGCAGAATGAGAAATGATAATAATAGTCAAAAGCATTATATAGTGTTGACAACAGAGATAAATACTCCATTTGACAATACATTCTCAACAAGATGAATACAGTCCCTTGTAAACAAGAATACTTTATTTCTTTGGAGAATCATTACACACTTTTTTGCGGCTGAGAATCAATCATAGGATATAATCAATAGGTATTTATCGTTTGTTTTTCAATTTTGTTTCAATTCAATCATTCAAAATGAAAGGAACTATGACGGTATGTTCCTAGTCTTTCTAATGAAACTACATCAACTGCCGTTTTTTAAAGTCAAATGTTTATTTTTTTGTAATTATATTTTTCAAACTTTCGAAGAAACTTGTCGCAATATCCGCTATAATATAATTATAGGATATGTTATGTCACAAGGGAAATTAATATCTTGAGTTATCTTCTGATGATGCGACAGCAAAGTGTTATAACGTTTTGTGCCTTTTTCTACATCAACCCACATCCTTAGTAGAGCATTCAGTTCTGCATTGATAGAGCTTGAATTTAGGCCTCTGTATTAATAGAAGGGCCTCGAAAGCCAAAAACTTAAGTGATCGATTTTATCTATCTCATTGGTGAATTCTGAGTAAAAAATGTTCACCTTTATCTCCTGAATTTTCTGACTCGTTCATCAGAACAACTCAATCATATTCAAATGGAAAACTTTAGGTCGAAGTGAACAATTCACAAAGTCAAGTTTTACTCAGCAAACAACTCGTAACTAAATGTTGGAAAGAAATTCAAATGGATAAAATAGTTCGATTGAAGAGCAACGATTTAATCCTAGTAAAAATCATTCTTAATTGAGAAATTTATCATGTCAATGTTCAAAGACTGATCTATTTATATTCTTAAAAACTGAACCAAATAGATTATATCTGATTCAAGCAGCAGAAATCAATAGGTTTGTCACTTATTAATGCGATATATCGATAAGTCTTGATTTATTTAGTGAAACCAATTTGAATGCTCGACAAACACTTCAAGGAATTGTATGTCTTCAGAATGATTTCAATCAATTATTTCGTCTTAATGGTAAACAAAAAAAAAATCTGTTGTCGGCCAAATATTTGTTCGATGTTTTTTTGATTGATTACCTGAAATCGAATGTGAAAGTTCAAATAATAATCTTGTTCGATTCGAAAAAAATTTCAGATGAAAAAATCAAATGTATCTAGTCAAGGATGACAATATTTTATTACATAGTACTCGGGCCAGAAATAAAACATAGTCTTTCGGAAGTGAGTCAAATTCGAACTGCGAAGAACACTTCGAACAGATTTTCGAAATAACAACCTGAAATTTGTTCTAGAAAAAGGCAGAAGTTCAATATGAACAGAAATAATGGTTGTTTTTTTTTGCAATGATTTTAGTGACTTCTTATATTGGTTCTAGTACGAAATTGATGCAGAATGGCAGAAGAGCAAGATTCAAACAAACAAGAATAAAGGGATTAAAGGCTGTTTACAATTTTAAAGGAATGTTTGACCAGAACAACTTTAATTTCTTGGGGAACCCTCGATCTGGCTATGACTGTGTAGGTCTGCGTGTGCGTAGGGTGTGGGTAAATATGGGGTCTTTATAGAAGATCCGAACATTCACGAACATTCCCAAATCTGGAACTGATACTATCAGCAGATCGAGCTCAGCGAGCTGATCCTACAAACACCCAAAATGGTTGAATATTAAAGTGATTGCCCAATGCACATTATTTTTTCAAATCGATGAATACCCACGAACACCATGTCTTCGACCAGTGAGTGGCCCTATTCGAGTTAGGTGTAAGCCAAAAATTTCAGTCTTCTATATGCTTGCGTAAGAAAAATAGCATGGACCTACTTTTTCAATGTTAAGTCTTATAATCGAATTCAGAATGACATATATGAAATTCAATTATAAAGCTTAAGATTGAAATTGTAGGTCCATACTATTTTTCTTATGCAAATATATCAAAGGCTGAAATTTTGGACATGTACCAAACTCGAGTAAGGCTACTCACTGGCAAAAGATGTGGGTGTACGTAGGATCATCTCGCTGAGTTTGATCAGCTGATAGTATCAGTTCCCGATTCGGAGATGTCTACGTCTTTTACAAATACCCATGAATATGGATATAAGTCACATCCGACAAAAAACGGAATTAAGATCTGTACACGTAGCTTTCTCTTTTCTATTGTCTTTCTTCATATGATCGAATAAAATTCTTCTTGCCTCCATTATCCTTGGTTTTTTTCGATATTTTCCTATTTAATATTTTTCTTTTCTGCGTTTTCCACCAAACTCTTAGTGTAATCAGTGTCCTAGTAGATCGTGTATACCGTTAATTTACTTTTCAATCTTTACATCAACACTGCACATCCTTCGTAATCAAACTTTGTTTTGTCTTTTAGAAAGAATTTAGATCTGAATTCAAAATAAAGAATTTTATTTTTTATTTTTTTTATTGTTAGTTGTTTTGTTTTGTTCATTTTCAATAACAATCATAGCCAATTGACTACGTGATGCTAAACCTTTTTCTCGTTGTATTAAACATCGCTCATATTCCATTGGATTTAATTGTATATCTGTATCACATTTAATTGATCGATAATGAACACGTAATGATTGATCAGGTGCACGTAAAATATGTAAATCAGTTAATTGTACAAATAAATCATAAAGATTCATTGTTGATATTGATATATTACGATATGAAATAAGTTTTTTTACATTTACATAATCATTCATATAAAGTCCAATATGATCATATGCATATGAATTAAACCATCCAACAGTTTTATGTAAATCAATTGTTGAATTATCTGTTATATTACGTGTACGTGCTATAATATATGGATGATATTGATTGAAACCAATTGGAAAAAAGATTTGAATATTTTCAATAACATTTAAACGACATCGATTTAAAAAATCTGAATCAATATCAACATATGGATTTGTAAGAAATATTAAAGAATTTATATGAAGTTTTGTTTGAAAAAATTCAAGTAAATAAATTGGTTGAGAATAAAGTGGAATTGATGATATTGGAAGAAGTAATGTATGATATGTTATTATTAATTGCTTATGTATTTGACATATTAAATTAACTTCATTACGGATATTTTCAAACCATTTTTGTGTTTGAGAATATTCTTCTTTTGTTGTAACAATATGTGTAAGAAGTAATTCAAATTTATCACGAGTTTCTCTATCAAATAGAGTTTTATTAGCATAACGAAGAAAACGAATAGCTACTGATTGTTCATCAGAATGAATTGGTAATATTAGATGTAATTTTGTTGTTTCAGTTACAAATGGCATTGGAATTATTTCAACAAGACCTATAACATAAGAATTTATTCAATAATCAAATAATACGAAATATCATAATTTATTGACAAATAAAAAAAATACAATCAAACTTATGTAGATTTGTTTTCACCTTTCTGTAAGATTTAATGAAGGAAGCATCATTACACTAGTACTTTATCATACTTCAAATTTTGTTTAAAATAAATATCTTTACGTGTTCTTAGTAAAGAAAATCATAATTTTAATTAATGAGAAATTTTCTTTAATGAAAAGTTGTCAATGATGCTTATGTTTTACAAGAATAAGACTTCTGTTTTATTCACCAATAACTGAGAAGATTTCTTCGTTCTATGTATACGCTACAGGTTGAAACGAGGTGGATTTCTTGCTTCTTGCCTTGTCCTACCCGAGAAAATAATAGTCTCAAAGTCTAGGTTCCTTGTCATTTTTAGGTGTCGACCAGCTCTCATTTGAATGCTCAGATTAAATAGATAAAAAACCTGTCCGGATAGATTCATTTAGATCAGAGAACTTTTTCAATAGTTTCTCAGATCTGAACTTGTCGACCTCTATTTATTTCAACCTATAGTATTGATGAAAATATGTGAAGAAAAAGACTTATGCTATTGAGCGTATCTGTTAGGAGATATCATCTTTAATCTCAGATTCTCACTTTGGACGCATCCAATATTGGATTTCAGGTTAGACGAAATCTTAGTTTTGTCACGAACATATATATATATAAATTATCGTGTGTGTATATAACAGACGTCCATAGTGGTGCGATAGCTTCGTGTCTGTGCTAACAGCGTTTTCTAATTAAATTATCTTAAGAGTTCTTTAGAATTTATTTAAATTGACAATTGTTCTTTTTATACATATAATTCAATGAAAACTAAAAGTAAAATATTATATATCATTCAAAACTATATCAATAAGTCTTATTCTTTTTGAAATTAAAATTTTCAATAGTCTATTTATCTATAATTTGTATCACGTAATTATTGTAAAATTTCGATTTTTGCATATCAATCTTTGTAAATAAAATAACTTACCTAATGGTCTCATTAATTCAGCACGTTTAATATATTCTTTTTGATTTTCATCTATAAGTAATATATCAACAATATAATGTGTACCACGTGTTGGATCAAATTGACGATAACCATTGAGTAATTTTTTAAATTTTAATCTTTATAAAAGAAAAAAACAAATGAAATTTTTTAAAAGATTTCTATGATTTTAATTTACTCAGTTCCATATTTTTTTTGTAATTGTTCTACTGAATAATCAATAACTTCATGTATATCTTCATAATCATTATCTATATTATAAATAAATAAATAAATCCATAGAATATAGATTAATTCAATATTCTATAAAACTATACCTTTCATTAAATCAATAACATCATTATCAGTTTTTAGATAAATATGTGTTTCATTAAAATAATCCCAACGAAGAACATCAAAACGTGTTGGTGATTTAAAGGGTGGTGGTACTCCAACTGGCCATGGAATATTTCCACAACCTTCAGGTGCATAACAAGATGAACGTTCAATTGTTTCTTCATATTTTTTTATACTCTGTGTCATTTCATTGATTTCAACTTGATTAAAATACCTTTAATTTATAGGTTTCATATGTTGTTTATTTATTTATTTTTTATTCAAATTTAAATAAATCAAAATTCAACTATACTTTTGAAGTTTAAGCATTGTTGCAAGATCATTTATTGGATGAACAGTTAATGTTTGATTAAAACTTTCAGTTTTCGATAAAATACCAATATCTCTATCGAATTCAAAACGATAATTAACATAAGTATTGAATTTAGAATTCTAAAAATTAAAAATTTTTCCTTTGTTTTTTTGTTATATCAAGTAAAAAAGAAAGAAAAGAAAATTTACACTAGCTGTATTAACACATGGTAATTTTGCTGCTTTTAAAATACAGCGACCAATATTATCAGTTAGATCTTGTGAATAAGCATTTTTTGTACACCAATCAAGTTCAACATAAATTTTTCGAAGTACTGACTAGAAAGAAATTATTATCTATTTAAAAACAATACAAAAAATTAGAAATTTCAAGCTTCAATCATCAAAAATCATTTTATGTCATCTGAAATAGTCGAATGTATTTTTATAACTTTTGACATGAGTATTACCTCATGATGTAAGCGTCATAATAACTAGAGAAAGTTTTAAAAAAATGAGATCACCTTCAAAATCATGTTTTGAATTTCTACTTCAAACTTGATACAAATATAGGTCTTGATAGTACTAACTGTCAGGCTTTTTATATTATCTCTTATCTTAAGATGTACATATAAGAATAAATTTTGCGTTTATTTTCATAAAAGAATTTTCAATATTGATATCTGAGGATAGGACATATTAAGAAATTTGATAATTTTACAATGAATAGATTCTATCTGATAATCGATTGTGAAGATGATTGATGAGAAATCACGCAAACTGTTAGTTCAAGCCTTGAGGGGTTAAACGGTTGATACAAGATGTAGGTGCTGTTGTCAATCATAGGGAGAGTGTTTTATTCTATCTATTTTGGGATACATTTCTCTACCATCCTTTTACCTCATCCTCCATAATTACAATAAGAGAATAGTTCATATATTATAACAAGACGTTATTGATATACAATCTATGATCGTATATCAACAATGCCTGTTACAGTTTGCGATAAAGAGGGAGGGGAAGGATTGCTAAGAATGTCTTCCATGTCTGAGACGGGAGGAAACCCAAATTTCTACTCCTATACTTCAACACTCCTTTTAATTCGTGTTTCACAAAACTCACTAAAATAAATTTAATTTAAAAAAATAAGTATATTGCACGGATGTATTTGGTCTTTCTCTTAATGTAATAACGCTTTTGTAATGAAGTAGGATTCATTTCAAAAGTGACGTATGATTTGGTAAGATTCCCTGGTAAGAATAATTCTGAGTAAAACCGAGATTTTTCTTCTATTCAATAACTGTCCTATTGAGACTGCAATAGATTATCACATTTTACACAATGTCGAATGATCTAAGGTATCAAAACCTCAAAATCATAGTAAGATTTTTTTGTACATGGTTAAATAGAGACTATATCAAATACTCTAAAATAGTCTTGATAGAAAAACATTCCGAATAATGACATACACAATTTTTGGATCAAATGGATTGACTTAGACAATTACGCCAAGTTTTTTATTTGTTAGTTCTCCAAGGTGATTCTTTTTTTATTGATCGTATAAAACTGACTGTGACAAACTATACTTATTATTGTTCAAATAAAATATGATCCGAAGTGCGACCTTGAAAAAGGCTACTATGTCATTTTGCACATCGATGCAGTTTTTTTCTTAAGAATTATAATAAGCATTTCTATAGAGCAATGATTTTTTTTGAAAATACTGCTTCATTGTTAAGAAAATAAAAAAATTTCATTTTCAGTGGCAAAAACGTGCTTGTATTTATCGATTTTGACCATCATTATTTCATTCATGCACAAAATGTATGTAATATTCGGATTTAACATCAACAATTCAGTTATATAACATACGTTTCAACAGAAAGTATTTTTCGGTGTAATTCCATCCTTAGTAGACCACGGACAAAATTAATAAAAAAAAAGGACAATGGGAGAATATCGATGTGTGTTTAATGAAAAATTATTTTTCATTGAACCGCATGTCATTCAACTGAATTTTTGATGCTGAATTTGAATATCGCACACATTTGCTCACGAATGAAATTATGATGATCAAAATCAATAAATACGAACACGTTTTTTGTCAGTGAAACAGAAATTCTTTTTATTTTCTTAACAACAAAGCAGTATTTTCAAAAACTCTTTCCCATAGGAATGCTTATTATAATTCTCAAGAAAAAAACCTGTATAAATTTGCAAAATGACATAGTAACCTTTTTCAAGGTTCCACTTACATCAAGACTATTTTTTTTAGAGTATTTAACACACCTGCTACTCCAATCATGTACGAAAAAAAAACCAAATCTTACTATAATTTTGAATTTTTTGTAAAAATCTTCTATATAATTTGTATAAACTTACTGCAGATAAAATAATTCCAGATCCAAAATAACAATAAACAGCATGTACGTCATCAAATGCTTGTCCAAGATAAAGATCTTGACCAATACTAATATGATTAAGAAATTCATTTAACTGAAAAACAATACAAAAAAAAAAGAATTTGTTTATAAATAAATTTTGTTTGTTTTAACATACTTTATAACCTCGTATATATGTATTATCAGATACAAGAAAAAACCAATCATATGATTTAATCATTTTTTCCGCAAGATATTTTAACATATAAAATGGTTTTAAATATGCTCGTTCATCATTTATAGCAACAACATGCATACCTTTTGGAAAATCTTGTACATTATCATTAACAAAAAATGATAAACGATTAACATAATCTTGTAATGTTTGATTAAGAAATAAAGCATATGTATTTAAACGATCTGTTTCAGTTAAAACAGCAACAAGAACTTTTTCACGTATACC